AGCAGACCATTGACATGCACAAAACCTATAACACAGGGAAGGGAAACCCCCACAACAGTGTCATAGAGCCTCTTTAAAGAAAGTTGTTATTGTTCCTCAGCCAACATCTAATTAGATTTGTGTCTCTCAGTTTGTTTTCGATGTTGTCTGCCCCCTAGTGGCCAAAAATATATTGCCGTATAGCATTAAAGAAGAACATTTGGGATTTTGCAGACCATTTACATGCACCAAACGTATATAACAAACTACAGGAAAGGGGAAACTCCCCCTAAAGCATCATAGGGCCTCTTTAAAGAACGTTTGTATTGTTCCTCAGCCAACATCTAATTAGATTGTGTTTCTCAGCTTGTTTTCGATGTTTTCTGCCCCCTAGTGGCCAAACATTTAGCTTTAGAGAAGATACTTGGGGATTTTAGTCTTTGCAGACCATTTACATGCACACAAACCTATGTAACACATACAGGAAAGGGAAACCCCCCCTAAAGCACCATAGGGCCTCTTTAAAGAACGTTTGTATTGTTCTCAGCCAACATCTAATAAGATTTGTGTCTCTCAGCTTGTATTTCGATGTTTTCTGCCCCCTAGTGGCCAAACATCTACTGCCTTAAACAGCTTTAAAACCATAACAAGCACCACCAACAAACCAACCCCGAGTTAGAAAAAAGGATCCAGCTACCTGATGAGGACGCACTGGTTCTGCAGTCTCTTCCACAGCGAGCGGTAACACTCGTTGGCGATGGCGAAGATGTGCGGAGACATTTCTCCCAGGTGGGTCCGGCTGTAAAGCTCCATGGCGGCGTGGTCGTACAGACCGGAGAGAGACTGGTACGGGTTCACCGCCGCCAGGATGGAGCCGATGTACGTCTGAGGGTCAGAGAGAGGATGTTATTCACAGCGCACATTGTGATTTTTGATTTGATTTATTTCAAACGTGTAAAACAATAATGAAACAAGAGAATGATGATACTGTACAAACTTAGGCAGTATCAAATATTTATTATTGACTTACAAATTATATATCTAAATGTATGTCTATATACAATATACATGTACAACTATAAATAGATTATATAATTATTACTACAATATATATATATATTATTCAGGGTGTAAATGAACCAGAGGAGATGATGATGTCTACCTGTAAGATCGTACATGTTCACAGATAGAGTTCAAACGTAATCAGGTATGAATGAGATATTTTCGCCTATCTTTTTAATTGGACTGTTTTTACACATTTTGCATCATATGTTTGTTATATACTTTCAATACCTCAAATCCCACAGGACCAGTGAGAAGCTATTCGCCTGGCAGCCCAGTAAGACAAGCTTTCCAGTCCTGGTGGCTTTGATAGTTACACTGGTTCTTTTCGTCTTTTTGGTGCAGGTGTATTAGCTGCAAAAGCTGCACAAGCGTTTAGTGAATTCTATCCATCTGTAACTAACAAGACATTTCAGAAACGGGTCCTGTTGAGATTGAGATTTAAACGTCGTGGTACTGCTTGCCAAAAGGTTTAACATCTAAATGAAGCCAGGCAACATTACTGTTCTGTAACATCTCTGCATCTCATCACAGCAACAGCATATCCACTGAAACATCAAACTAAGAGACGATGTGGCGGATTCACTAAGGATGGATTGTGGACAATGTCTCCAACAACTGCACATCATTTGCAACCGTTATTTGCCCTGTCTAAAAGTCAGTGTCTAAAACGGTGAGATAAACGATTGCAGAACATCGGTTTCTGAAAACCTTTTCAACGACAAGTGATATATCTCTGAACCTCTAAGTCAAACATCTCTGCAGCCCGTCACTGTTAGAATAACAGACGGGCCAAAGGCTGCACATAATCCAATTCTCTGACAAAAGCTCAGAGTCATAAAACCTTTATTGAGCTTAATGGAAGTCAGACGACAGACACATGACCCCAGTGATACTCAACATCTCCGTCACCACTTCCACTCAGCTCGGGGAAAGCTCCGCGACTCAACGCTCAACACTTCTGACCTTTTGTTGTTCTTTTCCCCTCGCCTCCCTCAAACGGCACATCTTCCAGAGCGGCTTCATGTTTCAGAGTTCAAAGCAAAACAAAGCAAACTGCTGAAGCAGGAGCCAGAGAAAGTGTTGGCAGTGTTCAGCGCTGCGGTGGTGACTGATGCATTATGGGAAGGCTCGGAAAAAGGCAGCACATCTGTGTGTGTCTGTGAGAAAGCAACTGGATGTTTCTACCGATGGCCTCGCTGTGAGACGTCGTAAAGGTTACAGCAGAAAAACTAGTCACGGAGGCTTTTCAGAAAAATAAGCTTCTATCAGAAATGCTCATTTGTAAGTGGTAGAGAGATGTGTTGATGCAACGGTTGCATCCATGAGAAAACAAATGCAAAGATACTAGGGCTGCTCAATTAATCATATTTTAATCGCGATTACGATTATGGCTTGCAACGATTACGAAAAAAACGTAATCGAAATAAAATGTTTTTTTTTTTTATTACTTTTTTTTTTTTTTTTGGGGGTTTTCAGTTGAATTATACTTAAAGTTCAGGGTAATGAACTGTTAAAAACATACTGTTCAAAGAAAGATTATCCAATAAATGGATGTTTTCAAAGTCAATGAATAATCGCAATTACAATTATTGATCCCAATCATCAAGATTATGATTTTTGCCATAATCAAGCAGCCCTAAAAGATACTGTCAAAACCAGAAAACGCAAAGAGGTGCAGTTAACAAGTTGAGAGGTTTTCCATCTCTAAGACAAGCGTACATCCCAAGAAAACAAACCTTAAATTGGTTAAAAGAGTGAACTCGATCCACAGTTTGGAAAGGTTAACAATAATTACTTTTTCATTTGGATTTACCCCTCAAACGCACCAGGTGTTTTGTGCATTTAGATTTGTCAAATGTCTAAATTCATCTGGTTACTGCTCCTGAACCCTTTGGATAACACTCATAAGCGTGGTCCACTCTGGAGGGTAAACATGTTGGATCAAACTCTCAAAAAGTCAGACTTTGTAAGAGGTCATATGTCTCATTTCCCAGCATTGACACAAATCAACAAAAAGATGAAGCCAATCTGTTCAATTTGCTTCAAGGTCGAACATACCCAGACATCCTGAACCTTATTCTTGTGATACGTTCTGTGTGCTTTGACTGTCAAAAGGTGTATTAGCCTTAATCATAACCATTTACATACAGAACGCATATACCTATTCTTAACTATCTCAAATGTTGCATGGGAATGTTCTTGTGTTATGTGTTCCTGTTGGAGAATGGCAGTTCATGCATGCATCACAATGACATATTGACAAGTCCTCCACCACTTACGACCACTTATGGGTTAACATAATATCAACACTCCCTCATTCCTTAACATAACTGCAGTGGTTTTAAGCAGTGGTGTAGTGGGCGTTGGACGCGGGGGTACGCCGTAACCCCACTTATTTGAAGCGTGATTTCTTTTTTTAATATTCTAATAAACCTAAAATCATTGCCAGTGTTATCAGTTGCAAGTGTGTATTTGTTGTAACAATGACAAAGATTTCACAGTAATTATAATAAAAATGTAGCTCAAGCATTTATGCAACTTGATTTGAAGCGTGTGTGTGTGTGTGTGTGTGTGTGTGTGTGTGTGTGTGTGTGTGTGTGTGTGTGTGTGTGTGTGTGTGTGTGTGTGTGAGGGGCAGCACCGTGTGTGTGTGTAGGGTGACCAGGTGTCCCGCACTGTGGGACTGCACACATAGCATTTTTATTATTTGTCCCGCGTCCCACAAATTGAGACTATGTCCCGCATTTGAGTGACAGTCGCGCAGAAAGGCCGGATCGGTTCGCTGACAGCCGGCACCGCCCTTTATTATTATATTGTCTAAACGGCATCATGTAAGTTCCGCTGACAGGCGACACAGAGGTCCCCCCCCTCGTTGACAGTTCACGAGCGCGTTAGTGTCTCCCGTCCACCAACCACCCCGTCCACCCAGTAAAAAAATCCCCACTACACCACTGGTTTTAAGCAAGTTGTTAAAGTTTGGTAGCAGTTGCACTTTAGTTTAGGCAACACAACGACTTGCTTAGGTTTAGAACAAAGCCTGTTTGGGTTAATAAGTGTAGTTGTTACATACCTTAAGTTACATAAGTAAGATAACCCACGTTTCTCCATGAAAAGCTGCACAGCAACCCCACAAATCACAGCAGCTCAGGTTTCATGCTGAACTTTACCCTACTTTCTCTCTGGAGTCTGAACACCTATTCTGCTAAACGTAAAAAAGATGAGATGTTTCCATCATGTTTGTCTGAAGACGGGAACATCGTGTGTGTGCAAAGTGTAAATCTTATTACAGGGGATCAGAGTGTTCCCATGAGCACGCATTAGGAGGTGAGGGTCGCCTGGAGCAGAAGATGAAATGCATTTAGAAGAAAAGGGAAACGCTTCTCCTCCTCTCTGCAGACTTCCTGTTATCCAGGCTGCTGTCAGTCACAGTGAAATCACATCCTAGCGTCCGGTCGTAGTCCCACGGAGATGTGTTTCTCACCTTCTGCTTGTTTTAGTGAGGCCGCTTTAGTCCTCTCCTCAGTAGCTTTTATTATCGCTTCACTACCGGTTAGTAAAAGGTTTATTATACAGCTGGAGCTTCAACACAAGCATACGCATCTACAACTCCTGTTCCTCTTTATCGAGGCCAATCAGGAAACATTTCAAAATCGTTTGGATGAATAGAAATAAGAGGAAAGCTGCGGTTACACCGTGTCCAGAGCGCTGAAGAACAGATATCAGGTTACAGCCGTAATAACCATGATTAGGGTTAGTCGGCATGCCGACGCATACAGCATGAAGAGAAGACAATCAGCCTGCTTCTTCTGAAGAGGGTCGTCTCCAATAGTTTGAAGCTCGCTCAGCTTTTCACATTATGAACACAAGTTCAACTCTCGTTACAACTTCTGGTTCACTTCAGTCATTAAATGCACTGATAATATTTACAATTGCCCAAATAAGTCTGTTAGAGCCAGTATTTTAGATTTTATGAGAGAGGCCATCTAATTGTGACGTCTGTAGTCAACGCACTATAAAGGACTACAATTCCCACGGCGCCTGTGCTAACGCCACAGTGATGGGCAACCTGTTGAGAGACGCCGTCGAGGAACAGTTTTTAACCGTACTCGTACCGTATACGTACACACGAACCATACAAGTACCCTTTAAGTTGTGAAGTTATAAGCATTATCACGAAAGAAAGAATACCCAAGTTGTTTGTTTTATTTGAGTTTGGCCTATTTTTCTTTGTTGCATGTGGAAAAGTTTGTTATGTTATTTTGAGCAAACACACCGCAACATCTTCTAAACCATCGGAGGCCAAGCAGCACTTCAAACTGTGAGTACTTTAAGGAAAGAAACGAGTTAGAACGGTCTGTTTAAGGCGTCTAGTGGCTTGATGGAAAGGCAAGGAAGGAAGCCACGACAGAGACTTTATACCGTGATATGAAATGCACCCAATGACCTAAAAGCACCAGTAGCAGTAGTCTGTAGCGCTAACCCAGATGTTTCTTCCTGTCTTACCATGTTTTTAGCAGAAAGCGTACAGCTTGATAAATCTGCTTTTTCGTTAGTTACTTCGTCCTTCAGAACATTTTGACTTCCTGTCTGTTGCTTTTAGCTTAGACTGGTTCATATACTGAAGACATGGATCGCAAACTGATAGAGTTTCTTTAACGAGTTTCTTTTAAAGTTTCAGCAATCTCTTTAACACTAGAACCGCCAGAGGTCGCTGTATACCTAAAACCGCCAACGGGTCAAATTTACCCGCTATTCATTTTCAAGGTACAATGTTCTTTTATTTATCATTCAAGAACAGTGAGTTTTGATCGCATAGGGATGAAACTTATACCAATAGAATCTGTGGACTCTCAGCTTTTCATATGACATAGTTTGTGCATGATAGCTTGAAGTATAAAATATCGCTACCGTGAGTTATGTGCAAAGTCTCTCTCTCTCTCTCTCTCTCTCTCTCTCTCTCTCTCTCTCTCTCTCTCTCTCTCTCTCTCTCTCTCTCTCTCTCTCTCTCTCTCTCTCTCTCTCCTGGCCAAATACTGGCTCAAACTATAAAGAAAGTAATTCTAACCATAAACAAGTCCCATCAAGGGACTCCCATCTTTCCGTTGTCTAACCTATATCTCCTACGTTAACGTGTTTCTGTTAACTCCCCCCTGTGTAACGTCCTGGTTAAACATCCTGTCTAAACAAAACGTATCTCAGGATTCAGACGCAGGTATTCTCTCGCTGACGAGGAACGTTTCCTCCGGTGCAAACGTCTTTCTCTCCTGCTCATTAAAGCCCTCGTACAGACGCCCCGCTGACCTACAGATACTATGGATGCAAATACATTTGAATGGCAGTTGAGAGTATTTGCATTTCAAATACTGTGGACTATCCTGCCTGCGTGTGCAAATCATACAGGGGGAATGGGGAAGTCATAGTGCTGCACAGAGGATGATACATCCCTTTGTTATCTCTCTGTAAACACGATCTCTGCTCAGGTCAAGGACTCCGTTTGTAGGAATAAAAGACGATCAGTGCAAACAGTTCAGCTCTGGATCATCACACTGGAAAAAATGCAGCTCCAGAACAAGTTAAAAAAATAGTGAAAACAAGTTGTTTTCACTTGAAATAAGTAAAAAAAACTGAACGCTGCTTGGTAAGATTCCTT